AGAAATGGCAGGGTCAGAGGTCTTTGGTTATAAGGGCTTAAGGGCTAGGTAAAACTCTGGGAGGCTTTTATTTACTGCTTTTTCTCAGAATTTCTGGGTTGAACACTGACCATTCACCTTAAACCCCAGAGATATATCTGTTTAAAACTGCTCATCACCATGGCAACGACAGCACCTTCTCCCCACCCCCACCCCCTACTCCTTACCTAGGGCAATAGTTTGCTCTTCTTGAAATATTTGTCCCTTTTATACTATCCTGCTATTATTTAGCTTACATTTTTCTTGCTTAAAAGTCTGGAGGAAGTAGAACATTTGCAGTGAGAATTGCAGGAAGAAACATCACAGACTTGTCTTGACCACACCCCTCCTGTACAGGATGACCTGGGGCCACTATCCCAGGCTGTGGGGTATACATGGGTAGCCACAGGTATACACACATTATGAAAGTGTCTGCCTTCATTCTAAGACTAGACTTCTAGTTCTCCTGTCAGCCCCACAGTTGTCCTCCAGCAAGAGCTCCCTAATGTATATCAGAGAAATTGAGCTCAGTGGAACACAGTGTCTTTAGTAACCATAAAGAACAAACAGATACAAGGAGTCTTGGAAAAGGAAGTGGGAGCCAGGCTGTAACTGGATTCGTCACCTTGCTCACTGAGTGCTCCACCTGCTGGGCTTCCGTTCTCTGGCAGGTACAGAGGGCAGGCTTATTTTTTTCCTTCCTCACTATGATCTTGTGAATGGCAGATGGGAATGTGCTTTAGAAAAAAGAAGTATAAACAATAATTCAAAATGTTGTTTGTTTTCTGAGACAGCTAGTGGAGTGTGGTAAAATAAATAGTAAACCATGTAAAATGGTAAGGCAGAATATTTATAGGTTATGAATACTCTGAAGCCTGTCATCTTGACTTTGAAATCTATGGAAATTTCCTTCAGTTCACAGAAATATAGAAATATAGGAGTCCAGACCTTCCTCAAGAATCATGTCAATCAACCTTTATCAATGATCACCTCAATCATTTATAGATAAGGAAACAGGCTAAAGAGTCCCAGGTGCAGCAGGTGGCATGTGGTTAAGGCACTGGACTCCCACATGGCTGACTGCATGACTGAGTCCCAGACCCAGTGGCTTGCATTCTCACTTCCCTTCTCTCTCTGTCACTCTCTTTGTCTCTCTCTGGTGAGTGCATGTGCCCTATAGCAAAATTTTTAAAATAATTAATTAATAATAATGTATTAATAATAATAAATAATTCTTTTTTAAAAAAAGAATTAAATCCCTTGTTTAGGTTGTGCCTAGAACCCCACAGGGTAAGGCTCTTCTGGTCCCACATCTGACACTGTGAAAATAATGAAGAATGAGTAACATACTCAGATTTCACAATTCTGTTGAAGAAGCAGAACACATCCATGAAACATTTGGATAGTAGGTAAATGATTTGGCTTAGGCCATTTTACAGGAGTTCAGAATCCATTGAAGACTAAAGAATTGGGACAGGTTTCAAAGAAAAATGAGTCTTTAGCTAGTCTCCAGAATTTGGAATGATTAGTTAAACTACAGATCTCTTTCTTTTTTAAAAAATTATTTAATTTTATTTATTATTATTATTATTATTATTATTATGTATTTATTTGACCAGAGAGAGAAAGTGAGAAAGAGTAAGAAAGAAAGCAGCCAGGTCTGGGACTCAAACCGTGGTCAGCTATGTGGGATTCCAACACTTTAACCACCATGCCACCTGCCAGGTCCTCGGTATTTCCATTTCCTATTAACCATCTTGATCCCTGGAAGAAGATGATTTTTCAAATTGCCTCTTTTGTCTGTAACTCCCAATAGCCCAAACTTATCTCTTTCTCAAGTCCACCAGTCAGCCCCATGGTTCCATGTCCACATTCCAATCACTGCCTTCCCTAACCTCTCTTTACATTCTTCTTTCCCAAAGACTCCCCACAAGTACAATGCCATCGTGCCTACAAGCCCCGAGAGAATGACGAGCTGGCCCTGGAGAAGGCTGACGTAGTGATGGTTACTCAGCAGAGCAGTGACGGTGAGTGGAGAGTCCATGAGGACAAGCCGGACAGTGGAGGCAGGACACTATGAGGGATGGATTCATTTCCTAGGCTGCCATAACAAAGTACCACATACCGTGTGGCTTTAAAGATAGAAATTAATTCTCTCAAAGTTCTGGAGGCCAGAAGTCCAAATTGAGGTGTCAGCAGGGCCATGTACCTTCAGAAGCCTCTCAAGAGGATCCCTTCTTACTTCTCCAGTCTAGTCGCCCCAGGTGTGCCATGGCTTGTGGCAGCATAACTCAGTCTTTGCCTCCATCTTCCTGTGGCCACCTTTCTTCTGCGTCTGTGTCCAACTCCTCTTTCTGTTATAAGGACCCCAGTTATATCTGATTACTGGCTACCTTATTCCAGTATAACCTCATCCAACCTCCACTAATTACTTCTGGGCTGTGATGGCATTCCCAAATAAGCTTGCATTTTGAGTTACAAGAGATTAGGACCTCAACATAAATTTTGGAGAGACACAATTCAATCCATAGCAGTGGAGAAGGCTTAGAAAGGTGCAGGTATGGACCTTGCCAGCCCAGGGAAGCCATGTTCAAGAGGCTGGACATCTCTTGCTTAGGGTTGCCCAGTTCATTCATCCTTAGAAATTAGAAGTTTCCAGGAAGGAGGAAAGTTACTGTGAGCCTTTCCCAGGTAATTCTTCTCACTCAACCTGTATTCACAGGCTGGTTGGAGGGCGTGAGACTCTCAGACTGGGAGCGAGGCTGGTTCCCTCTACAACAAGTAGCGTTCATTTCCAATCCAGAGGTCCGTGCACGGAACCTGAAGGAAGCCCATCGAGTCAAGACTGCCAAACTACAGCTGGTGGAGCAGCAAGCATAGCTGTTCTGGGTGAGGAATCTCCCGAGCTTAAGAACAAGCTGTGCCTGGAGAAGGCTGGCGCCAGAACCATGCTGCAAAGACCTTCTGCAGACTAAGGATGAAGCCTTCCGAAAGCCCAAGGACAAAATCCAGTTAAACCAGTCACTTACCACAGGCCTCCTTTTTTGTGCTTTGTGCTTGGTGGGGGGATTTTGAGGGACTTTGCACTGGACTCTGGGAACTTATTTTTTTAATAGGAAAAGGGACCAGTGGGGACTGAGCCAAGGAACTTTACTTCTACTGCCATATAGTACTTAAACACTTGTTGCTTCCAGAGAGCAGATTCAGAGCTGGCCGAAGTTTCAGTCATGGCCGTATGTTAAAAAGAATCTAACCTCGGTTCACTGGAGGGAGATGTTTAAGGGTATTAACACATCAGATGGGAGGGTCAACTTGGTGACCACCAAGTTGTCTTCCAATCCTAGAGATTCTCTTTAATTATCGGTGTGAGGCTAGTGCATGCATCTCTGAGATCTATGTCTACTGGTGATAATGTGAGGGTGATATTCTCTCACTCTAATAAACCTGGCATTTCTCCAGTTGTTTTCTTCTCAGACGTCTCAGTACTGAACAAGGTTTGGAACGTGCAGTTCCAGGAAGGTTCCAGGCTCTTTGGTGTGGGTGTCATGAAAGACCAAGATGTTGCGTAGGTTGTGTCAGCTACTGACTCTTGCTTTATGTCTTCTGAAAATTTGGACTATGTTTCTGCTTATTATGGCTTCAGAAGTTATAGAAGAAATTAGAAGTAACTGACAGGTAATAATCAAAAAAAAGCTCATTAAAAATTTTGAAAAGGGACCAGTGGGGACTGAGCCAAGGAACTTTACTTCTACTGCCATATAGTACTTAAACACTTGTTGCTTCCAGAGAGCAGATTCAGAGCTGGCCGAAGTTTCAGTCATGGCCGTATGTTAAAAAGAATCTAACCTCGGTTCACTGGAGGGAGATGTTTAAGGGTATTAACACATCAGATGGGAGGGTCAACTTGGTGACCACCAAGTTGTCTTCCAATCCTAGAGATTCTCTTTAATTATCGGTGTGAGGCTAGTGCATGCATCTCTGAGATCTATGTCTACTGGTGATAATGTGAGGGTGATATTCTCTCACTCTAATAAACCTGGCATTTCTCCAGTTGTTTTCTTCTCAGACGTCTCAGTACTGAACAAGGTTTGGAACGTGCAGTTCCAGGAAGGTTCCAGGCTCTTTGGTGTGGGTGTCATGAAAGACCAAGATGTTGCGTAGGTTGTGTCAGCTACTGACTCTTGCTTTATGTCTTCTGAAAATTTGGACTATGTTTCTGCTTATTATGGCTTCAGAAGTTATAGAAGAAATTAGAAGTAACTGACAGGTAATAATCAAAAAAAAAGCTCATTAAAAATTTTCTAGTGTACCCATACGTACAGATATAGGCTAGTTTGAGTAGATTTGGCAAATCCTACTTAGACCATTCATGATTTCACTTTCTCATATAATTTATTGTGAAAATACCTTCCCAGTTGTTTTATCTTCTTTCCAAAAGTAGCATGTATAACAGAGTGAGTCCTGTAACCCCAATCCAGAGACCTGCACTGCAGTTACCACACTGCCACTTGGCCATATCTCTGTTCCCTTAAATGCAAAATCCTGGGTGAATCAAGCAACCTCCAAAGCCCTGTCCAACTCCAACAGTATACTACTCGATCTTCTTTCAGACAGCCCGTCTCAGTTAAAGAGAATCATTCTAAATATTTTTATCACATATAGTAGCCTTCATGTAACAAATAGTCATCTTTAATGCCATTTTTTTTAATTCCCAGATGGCACATGAACTTGCCAGAGAAGCAGGATGACAGAGAGAAAGGAAGAATGCACCCCTCCAATGGAGTATGGTCTTGCTTCAATCCCTACTCCTCTAACTCCCCTCCCTGTTGGGATTTAGGGCATGTATGCATGCACACAAGCCAAGCATGTCTTTCAAGCTGCCAGGGCTGGGATTTGAACCACAATCAGCCATCCATCTCCCTTAAACACGAGACTATAGGGCCAGCCCCTATGCCATCTTTTAAGCTGGATCATTTATTTCCTCCTAGACATTCTGCTACTCTCTTTTATATTTCAGAGGACTGAAAAGAAAGATTTCATTGCAATTTTATACAAAGGTTAGGACCATACTATAAAATTTGGCTTATTCATGATAATAATGACATAATAGCACTACTTCTGATAGCATACTATATTTTCAATTCATCCTAACATATATTGACTTGATTTGATTTCATTAAAAAGTTATCTCTAGGGCCATCCAGTGGTGTGGAGAGTAACATGGCTGGATGTCACATGGCCTACTGTGCAGCCGAGTCCCAGACCTGGCAGCTCGAAAACATGCTAGGCATATGTATATGCCTGAAATCCCAAAAGGAGAATTAAGAGGGGATTTCACTGTGGCTATCCCCCCTGAGCTGTGTGTTTTCACTTTCCCTCTCTCTCTCCCTCTCTGTCTCTCTCTGCTGAGTACAAATATCTTACAGTAAATTTTTTTTTTAAGAGGTTTTTGTTATAGGGCACATGTGCTCGCCAGAAAGACAGAGACAGAGAGACAGAAAGTGAGAAATCACCTCCCGGGGGTAACGGCCACGCCACAATCTCTTCTCCTCTGTTTTCTTCTCGGGATCTTGGACACGCACACACACATGCCCGGCGTGAGTTTAGGCTGCTGGGTCCAGGACTCAAACCATGGTTGACTACATGGGAGTCCAGCAACATAGCCACTATACCACCTGCTGGTGCCCTTACAGTAAATGTTTTTTAAAAGTGATTAAGATGAGGGCAATCTTATTTTATCCTAAACAAGATGACACTGCCAAAATAATCTAAAATAAGGATGATTTTAGAAAAGTTCAGTGAGTGCGTGACAACTTTGATTGAACATGCTCAGTTTTTCTGATACCTTTGAATCTAAGTTCTATAAGACTTCTTTTTTTAAATTATTTAACTATTTATTATTTTTTAATTTGATGAGAGAGAAAGAGGGAAGGTAAGAAAGCAAGCTGTCAGATCTGGGACTCGAACCACAGTCAGCAATATAGGAGACTAGCACCTTAATCACCACACCACCTGCTGACCCCAAGACTTCTAACTAAAACTGTTTTGTAGATATTTAATACCCATTTGACTGGGTAATTCTCACTTAATCTAGAAAATTAAAAGACATTAGACTTTTATCTATCTTTAGGTCCTTGGTTAGAAAAAAAGAAAGAAAAAGCTTAGACATCAGAAATCTTATTTATTTATTTATTTATTTTTTAAGAGAGATTTTTTTTTTTGCTATAGGGCATGTGCTCTAGGGCCAGAGAGACAGAAAGTGAGAAATCACCCCCTGGGGAAATGGCCACTCCGTTCTCTTTGGGGCATGCACACACATGTGCCCAGCATGAGTTTTAAGTTGCCAGGTCTGGGATTCAAACTGTCGTCAACTACAGGGAGTCCAGCGGTATAGCCATTACAGCATCTGCTGGTCCCAGACATCAGAAATCTTCTCAGTTAAATTACTGAATTGTTCTACATTTTGAGTTTAGGAAAATCGAGTGTAAGTCCACACGTGATCTCTTCCTTCTTCAGACTTCCAGAAGTTAACTCCACTTCTTTCATCCTGGCTAGCATCATTAGCTTAGAAACATGCCAGTTTTTTTGTTTTTCTTTTTAACCTTTTACTTTAAAGTTCATTGATTCCTTCTATAGAAAAAAGATACAGAGAGAGAGAGAGAGAGACGGCCACCCCCAGTGGGTTCATGCTGTGACCTCCCCTTGGCCTCCACCAGCACGGCCACGGGCACAGGTACACACCTGACGTGTACATGGAGGCCTCCACGCATCCCGAGACATTCCATGTGGTCCAGTATCTCCGAGCCTGGTGTTACTGCTGCACTTCCTGCTGGCACAGAAATGGCAAGTGCCCGTTACCCAACACCTTTTGGACAGAACTGCATTTAAAGCATATATGAGTATAGAATATTTTGTTGATTTTTTAAGCAAAACAACAACAAAAGCATCTATTTATAGATGCTTTTCTGAGTTGTAGCGTTTGGGGAGCTTCCAGTCACACAGACCTATGTGGAATTGTTTCCTCTGTGTACTTGACCATGTGGAGCTTCCATGTCATTTTTGCCTACTCACATAGCTTAAAAAAGCGACTTATTAAAGTTTACTTGTATTGTTATTTTTAATTGGCAAATAACAGTTGTACATATTTATGGGTTATAGTGTGATTTTTAAAATAATTATTTAGTTCATTTATTATTTTATTTAGCTTGCTACAATCATCAGAGAGAGGCAGAGAGAGAAAGTGAGACAGCAAGCTGCCAGGTCTGGGACTCAAACTGCAATTGGCCACGTGGAAGTCCAGCACCCTAGCCACGATGCCACCTGCTGGCCCCACAGTATGATTTTTTTTCTTTTATGCAAGTATACTATGCATAGTGATCAGGTCAGGGTAATTAGCATGTCTATCCCCTCATACAGTCAACGTTAGCCCCCATTCCTCTACCCAGCTATAATTTGTATATGTCAACCAGTTTCCCCCAGCTCCCTCCTTCCCCCTTTTCAGCCTCCAGTAATCACCATTCTACTCTCCTCTTCTATGAGGTCAACTTTTTTAGCTTCTACATAGGAGTGAGATCATTCAGTATTTCTCCTTCTGTACCTGGCTTATTTCACTGAACATAATATTTATTTTTACCACCAACTTTCACTTAGAAGTAGTTATGACCTTGAGATTTTAATTGTGCACTACTTAATCTGTCTCTGCAATTTATAATTATTTTAATAAGACCAGTCTACAGCTTAGTATCTGGAAAGCTCCCTGTTTGAGATGGGTTGAGTTTCCCAAATGTTGTGTTCTGTCTCTTAAATAACTTTAGTATCAGTGGCACAAGAACAAGTGAGCCTGGATACTTGGTGACTGGTTTTGTTTTGTTTTCTTTTCTTTTTCAACAGCTTTTGGGATAGAATTTGTTTACAAGCCTTTAAAAATTGACACTTATTCACTGGATCCCTGTCTTTTGCACACATATTTATCCACCTGAAACAAACTCAGTTCCCTTTTGGATTCCTTGTTAGTCTATCCATAACGGTCTGTATTTTTTTGAAAAATTTGTATATGGGGTCACATTTGAAATCCAGCATTTGAGTAAGTGGCTCTTTATAGACTCAGTTGTCCCCCTGCCCCCACCTGCCCTAGACACATCGGTGAGATTAGTGTGTGGGTGCCTGGCTTTCCAGACCTCCATGTAGAAACCTTCTGTGGTGGTGACTTGACTCTCACAGCGCGGGGACCCCAGCACCACATTTGCTATCAACATGACTCAGACACTTGTGATTACAGCCGCTCCAAACCTGTGGGTTGGTGTAATCCTCGAACTCTGAAGTCAGGTGTCGGGAAGGGCCAAAGGTTAGGCGTACACACCAAGGAGAGACAGATGCCGAATGGTCGTCATTCCAATGCACTTCTTGCTTGTGTTTAGAGCATTCTCTACGCCCAATAGATTTTGACCTGTCTTTTCCA